TTTTTTTTATCAACAGTACATTTTAATACAGTTTTATTTCACTTTTAAGTACATTTTCATTTAATCTTTCAGAACTGTTTTTTTTAAACATTTAGTTTAGTACGATATTTATTTAACTTTTATGTGCAATACATTTTATTTGATTCATTATTTAAATACAGTTTTTTATTTTCCTATATTTAAGCACAGTGTTACTGTTCAAACTGTGTGTAATGTTACAATGGCTGACAACATTAAATATAACATCTTAAGAGAAACAGTGGACATTACTGCAAATTACTGCAGCAGATAAATGCAAAGATCTCATCTTGACATGTCTGTATTACTACTACATGTTAAGTCTATCCTTACCTTTCTGAATGTTCGGCTCTATTAGTTATTGTACACAAACAACGTGTAGATTTTTGTATGGGGACACAGGGGACGAGTTTCTCTTAATATTTCGAAGATGTGCATGTGGACTTTTATTTTGACAAATTTAAGGACATTTACATGCCACAAAATGATACAGAAAAGGCAAAAACTGGTGCATAACAATTCAGCAAAATGCAGAAGAGTGTGAGAAAAGTGCAGGAGTGTTTCAGACACCCAACTCCCTATTTCTGAATGATTTTCTTAAACTAATATTGTCATATTGTTGACATAAAACTATTATTTAAAAAAAAAATTACAAATATATTAATTACCTGTTTTTATCTGCAAGTGTCTTGATAACAGACATCCTTTAATAATAATAATAATAATAGATATGATATTAAACTGTCATGATTCATATGATCATGATTATAATTATACATGTAATAATGACTGATGACTAACTGTAATTATAATTGTACAATAGATGGTTAGGGATTAAAGGATTATTGTACTTGACATTTATGTATTGATGAATTGTGTTGTTCCTGTTTCTGTGTGTGAGTCATCTGAGTAGCATTCAGCTCCAATGTCAGAGGGTGGTTTTTATTTCTGCCAGCTCACCGTTGCACATTTAGGGATTTGGTGGGGACACAACAAAATCAGGGAGTGTATGCCCTCCGTTTCTATTGCTATTTCTATTTCAGTTTATATTGAATGGTAGCCTATTAATTTATTTCATTTAGGTGCAATCCCGCAGGGGAGAAGTGCACTTGGTAGCAGTTTAGGATGAAATATAAAAACATTGTTCAAACAGGTAAGACCTCGGCATAATCTCATGGGGGTACCTCATTTTGATCATGTTTTACATTGTAAAGTAAATATTAAGTGGCTGTTTGACTGTGCAGTTGTTTTATCCCCAACATAATGCTGTTTTCACACATAAATGTCTTCTCATCTATATCATGTTCTGTTCAATAATTAAGCCCATTTAAACTAACACAGACTTCTACTCAGCCAACAGAAAGAAGGCAGATGCCTGTAAAACGAGCACACTTTTCTGACCGCCCTGCGTACAGTTGCCTTACTCAAGTGCTCAGCATCTCCGACATTGTCCAAAAACTTCCATTTGCAAAGAAACGCAGCGCATTTTTATACAGTCTATGAGCGCAACACACAATATCTGCTGGGGTGTGAGAGCATGACTACGATTGGTAATGTTGCAAATGTAAGGACGGATTAGGTTGTGTATGTAGACAATGGACTGTGATGTGAAACGGTACAGCTCAAAAAGATAATTTTGTGGAAATGCTAGAACATCTATGCGTGGTCTGATAACCATCTCCCGACGAATATTTAATTCTCTGCGCAGTAATGCTGCACCTTCATCCACGGGATCGTTATCAAAAGGACATGCCATGTTAGTGAAAAAAGTCGCCACCTACTGTGCCTAATAGACTTCTAATATACTGACTCTGATTTTTTTAAATGATTTTTTTTAAATGACAGACAGCAGAACTAGGCTACGCCAAAACTCGCCTGCTGACTGAATGAATGAGGAAATCAAATGGAGTGTGTGGCTCTGAAAGAGGGCGGAGACAGAGAGAAACTCGAGGTTCATTGAGAAAAATCTGGTCCCGACCAGGTTAGGTTCATAGAGTCTGTTACTACGGTAACTGACCGAGAGCTTAAGTTACCTCTCTCTCTGAAACAGGCTAGAGTTACCCCTCTTTCTCTGGTTTGAGTTACCCCCCTTTCTGAAATGGAAAACTCAGAGTTTCCCTCATTTCAGGGTTAACAGACAGAGTTTTCACTAAACCTGCTTTGTGAAACGGACCCCAGGAGCTGCGAGCCCAGTCTTACTCCAAACTTGCTGAAATCCGACGCCTGGGCAGTGACCTGTGGCGTCAGAAACCAACAAAAAAAGGCATCCTTTAACGTCGGCATGATACGTAGCCAGTTGCCTTTGTAGTTCAACGGCGCCCGGCGGCGTCAGGGGGAAACACGGCAAGACAAGGACGAACGTTAAGGTGCCGAATGTCTGGGGCAGGAAGCAGGGGTGGTGGATGGGTCCAACAAACATTGACTTTCACCCGAGAGAGCCATTTTCGTGTCCCGTAACATTATAAAGCCAAGCCCTGTTTTTTTTTCTTTCCTAAACCTAACCATGTGTTTGTTGTTGAAGGAAAAAAATGTCAGTTTGTGTTGTTGTATTGACATAGTGCGTTTATAGTGCGTTGAGACTGTAAGTAAACGATAAATTTCCTGTGAAAACAGAAGTGTATTTTGAAAGAAGACAATGCATGTAACAGGCAGAACTTGACACAGTGTCCCAGAACATCAACAACCAACGNGTGGTGGATGGGTCCAACAAACATTGACTTTCACCCGAGAGAGCCATTTTCGTGTCCCGTAACATTATAAAGCCAAGCCCTGTTTTTTTTTCTTTCCTAAACCTAACCATGTGTTTGTTGTTGAAGGAAAAAAATGTCAGTTTGTGTTGTTGTATTGACATAGTGCGTTTATAGTGCGTTGAGACTGTAAGTAAACGATAAATTTCCTGTGAAAACAGAAGTGTATTTTGAAAGAAGACAATGCATGTAACAGGCAGAACTTGACACAGTGTCCCAGAACATCAACAACCAACGCACCCAGGGTACCTTGCACGTTGTATGTGGACGTGGAAAGTCCATGACCAAACGTGGATATGTGACGAGGTCGGAGTGAGTCAGTTTTTAAATGGTAAACTTGTCTAGACACTGTGAGCTGAGTGGTGGACAGCTTAGTTGGGTAAGCAGCTGTTGTTGATTCTCCTATTGTGCGTCTTATATGAAACAGTACGAGCTACATCCTGCTTATTGTAAAAACTACACACAATGAAAATATGATGATCAATAACTTGCAAGCACAAACAGAGAGAGATCCTTCTATTGTGTTATAATTTCTGCATGCCTGTCAAAGTAGAGTTAGAGTTATGCCTCAGAAAAATAAACAAGAGCAAAAGACAGATATCGTAATTTGATCATTCCTTCATTTATTTTCAATGATTTGTTTATTGTATTTTAGTCACTCAAGAAAAAAAAAAGCCAAACATGAGAAAACTACCAATAGCATTATCTTAAATCCAGCTTTTGTCTGTCTTCCAATCTGTTGCCTCACTTTCCTGCTATCGGAGGGAGAGGAATTAAACTGGCAAGACTTGACAACAGAAACTGCAGGAATGCAGAAATGGGATTGCTGGGTTGATAGCCGGGGTAAACTGCTGGATACTGAGACTGATACTGAGACAAATACTGAAGCATGAAATGGCCCATCTGGGGGAAAAACACAAACACATACAAATATTAAGCATTTTGTGAAAAGTAATAAGTTTATATGAATGAATTAATTCATGGGTAAGAAAATCTTTTGCACCTCATTACTCCCTGAGCGTTTGACTCGATCGTTCTCTTCTTCAGAGACCTTTAAGAGAGAAGAATCTTATGTCACCAGCTGTTGCATGAATTCAAGTTACTTGCTTTTTCTTGTCTGAATTGAAAGGATGATAAAAACCTTAAACTAAATGTGTCACAGCTGAGCACTTACAGGAAAGGCATAACTTAAGGCAATGAGGCACAGAGCGAGGACCAGCAGTTTCATAGCTGAAAAACACGAGAGTCCTTCCTAGAGCAGAAACAGAAAGGTAGAAAACTAAATTGTAAATTCAGTCATAGGAGCTACGAATAGTCTCCAGAGAGGAAGATCTTACCTTCAAATCTGAAAGTGAAGTTGACAACAAAGGCCAAACACAGAGTCCAGTGGTGAGTTTTGGTTTGAGGTCTTGTCATCTCCAAGTGCACTTTTTAAAGAAAAGACCCTGCCACCAGTCGTCCAATCAGCTGTCAAAGCTGTTTTGATTTTATGTTTGTCCCAAAGGTACAAAACGTGATGAAATGAAATGCGGAAGGATAATCCTAAAAACTTGCTGTCCACTGTCCATGCAGGATTTAACACTAATCCCACAGCTGTTGGGAAACAATGAAGTGGTTTTCACTGGACGTGATTCATGTACACAGCTTTATGTTGTTTGTCCACACTTCCTAAAAACAATTGACTGCACACCGGCAAAAAGGATATAGTCAATTTACACCAGAGTTATCATCTGGACAATCCCCTTCAGTGGACGAAGGTGAGGGTGTGATAAAAACCTGCAAAAGCTTACACCTTGAGAGGCATGTAGGGAGTTTAAGCTCCTTGGTCTTGATATGCAGTTTAGACAATGGGCACATTAAGATGTACCATCTTACAATTAGAACTATAATATAAGTATATATTGCACTATGATTAATGGTAATGACTTAGAGTCTTTTAAACATATTTTAAATACATATTATTGTTGAAGAATTTTCAGGGCGGATGATTTAATAGCTAAAGTAGACCTTGATGACGTTGATGGATCACACATAGTTTTTAATGAAGACTCGATTGAGGACAATGGCAGCTCAACATACACTGTATGTAACACTGTGTATGCCGTCCACAGATACTGAGGGTGTCCTTGCCCAGTTCTTGCATTTAACCCAGACAGTATTCCCTCGTGAGCTACTCCACATTCCCAAAAAAGGTTATTCTGTCCAGATCTATGGCTCTGTGAAGTTTCTATCTTACTATATAATGACTAAAACTCTGTCTGTGGGTTTGTGTGTGTCTGTGTCTGTGTCTGTTCCACGTTTTTCTCCTCACTGACTTGGTCAATCCATGTGAAATTTGGCACAGTGGTAGAGGGTCATGGGAGGATGCAAATGAAGCAATATTACATCAATTGGCCAAAGGGGGGCGCTATAGCAACTGATTGGAATTGCAAACTTTGAATGGGCATATCTCATGCCCTGTATGTTGTAGAGACATGAAACTTTGCACAGAGCTGCCTCTCCTCGAGGAACAAATTTGCCTCAAGAACCCATAACTCCCGGTTATATAGATTTTCCGCCATTTTTAATTTTTTGAAAAACACTTAAAATCGATCTCTTCCTAGGAAGTTTGACCGATCTGCATGAAACTCGGTGAACATAATCTAGGGACCAATATCTAAAGTTCCCTCTTGGCAAAAGTTGGAAAACTTACTAAAACTGAGCTTCTATAAGGCAATGAATATTGCAGAGGGTGTGGTTCATCACATAAAGGTGTATAACATCTCAAGGGTTTCACCGATCACCACGCAACTTTGTAGGTATATGACCACACATAATCTGAGGGGACCCCTCCATTATTGACCCCATCAAACAAAATGGGGGCGCTAGAGAGCTAATTTCTTATCTATGCCTAACTGCCATATCGATTTTTACTAAACTTGGTAGATATGTAGAACAGGACGCCTCAAGGTGACTGGAGGAATTTAACTCTAATTGGCAACTGGGTGGCGCTATAACAACAGAAAAAAGCTTAAAGGGCCAGTGTGTAATATTTGGCATGGTTTATTGTCAATCTGAATCTGAATCTGAATATTCTACTCATTAATATGTTTATACAAGTGTATGATCGCTATAAAATAAAATTCGTTTGGTTTTCGTAGCCTTATAATTATGCTTTTATATATATATATATATCAAGGGCCTTGCTTTAGAGAGGTCGCCATCTTGCGCCGCCATGTATGTACGGCAGACCGACAATCCAGCCAGCCAGACAACGCGTTTCGTGTGTATAAATGAACCAACAAAGACAGCGGAAGGAAGGAAGGAAGGAGGAGGAAACAGCAGAGAATGTTAGTAGTTCGTCGATAGAGAGTAGTGAAAAGTTTTTTTAGTTATAAAGTTTGCGAATGGACCACACTTACCACGCAGCAGGAGGGAATGAACCCGAACCGTCATCTGCGAGGAAAAGAAGACGCAACTTCACTCCTTGTGATGCACTCTCTGCGGCGCTTTTCCTCCTGATGATATGTCTCCCCAACGATGGTAGCAGTAGCACCGAATCCCATTCTGTGCATTCAGCCTCTCTTCTCACCCGCTCAGCATCAAACACATGGAGTTCCTCATCTGTATGCTCCGGCTCAAACAGGTATGGCTCTGGGTCTGTGTCCGCTACAAGAAACTCTTCAAAATCGCGTTCAAAGTCATCCATTGCAGCTACTATAGTCCGGAGATATTGCTAGGCTAAATAAACAGCTGAGCTCTGTTTACCGGCTACGCTGTCAGTCAGTGTGCGGGCTGGAGATTGGTGGAGCAGAGAGGGGAGGGGGGTCCCCACTTAGTATGGTAAACGAGTATGTGTGTAAAGTTATGAAGTGTGTCTGTTACGCTAGAAGAGTCAGAGTTTGGGACGGAGTCTTTTACCCCCTGGAGTGTTACCGGAGTTTCTGGAGTGCTCAAATAAACTGGCCTTTTTCCCAAACGCTCCTCTGGTCTCCTGCTTGTGAGGGATTCATTACAATATCGTAACATGGTTTAGATTTCTAAATAAACATTCACCTCGTCGCTAGATAGACCTACTCCTGAAAAAGTCGTGCGCAAGGCTTTTTGTCCCTATGAGGCCACCGTCATTTACCCGACGGGAGGGGTGAGCGAGTGAGCCCTGCAATCTAAAATTTGACCACTGATGTCACTGTTTTCAACCCATTTTACACACTGGCCCTTTATAAAAATGGCTCAAATGTGACCGATCACTGTGGCTCCCCCTGTGGCCGAATGTTGTTGTTTTTTTTCTAATTTTTGGTATGACTAAGTCATGGTATGGTATGCTGTACATAATCATGGAAACTGTCAGTGTGTCATTCTGTCAGTCAGTCAGTCTTCTACCAGTGCGCCCCACTTTTAAGTCAATACAACATATTAACACTTTAACTATCTGCCTTTCAACGTGCTACCTCAACTACTAATGTACAGTTTTAGCCCACTAACTATCCCACTATTGGCAATGGTACTACTGTACTTTCAATAAAGCAGTTGTACTATCAAGTTCACAAAAACTCTGTCTGAATACATTGCTCTTCTTAATGGGTTCAGTTGACTATTTAATCTGCAATTTCCTATGACCTGTATCCCAAACACACACCTGTGAAACTATACATGGGCAACTGTGCACTCAATGGGTATGGACTAGTTGGTTACTAACTTTAAACAACAAGCACGCTCAAACTGGTTCTCTAAACCGAAACAACCGTTTCTTCAAAATGCACATATCTAAAAAGAGACTCTGGTCTGTTGAGCCTGGAGCACAGGGCAGTCTCCCTTCCCCTTAACCTTGGGAGCTATGGCAACGGAGCCAACTAGTTATCCTTATGCCAGGTACACACTACACGATATCAGCCCAATTATAGCCCAACGCAGCGTCGTATGGTGTTGGCTTGGAAATTAAACGATGGATTATCATGCACAACAACCCATTGTTTCATCTAGTGTAGTGTGTCATAGTTGACGACAAACAACGCCATGTCTGGTACACCTCACGACATCCCGACAGAAAGTCTGGCATGTTTGATTTTCTTTTTGTCATTCAGGACTTCTCCCGTCGAGCGATCTGCTGCCATAGACAACTGTACGGTAACAACAACCCAGGGTTTTTGATATTTCCTCTAGGAATGGTACCACACAGAGTAAAGAAGGAAAAATGCTGGTGTGAAACAGCAGACGTTCATAAGCAACCCGGTGAGTACTGCCATTAGCATCAAGCTAGCAAAGTATGTTACTTCTTCATAAGGGACAATATAAAGTAATAAAATTTTAAAAACAGAGGCGGGGCTTTTACTCACCACAACTGTAGGCTACCAGCTTCATTTGAAACAGACTACATTAGAAACAGGCCGTTATTTATTTTTACTTACATATCTTTATATTTTCACTTTTCATCCCATCTCCACTTTGCCTTGATAAAGTTAATGCATCATGCCATCATTTCAAACTCAACACTTCCTTTATCTGTTTCAAATTAAAAGCTCCTGATAACTTCGGTTGAGAGAATGCCTCCATTTTCTAAACAGGCTTTTATTGTGAAACATTTGCAGGAACTTGTTGTGGAGGATTCAGTTTATGTCATAGTATGCATGTGGCACTTCAAATGTAGCTCCTGCCATCTAGTGGCACTTTTTATGTTACTACAAGAACATTTCAGCTGGCACATGAACACACACAGTGACTGAAATAATAGTAATAGTCATAAAAATAGGACAAGAATAACCCGATGACATCACACACGTCATGAAAGATGAGACGATGGGAGTAATTGGTGTGCACCATCGTGTGTGTCATATCTGTCGGCCAAGTCATGATTTTATGACTCCACAATCGCCTAATCTAGACAGAAATGTTGGTACTCCGTCTTCCACAGCTGGAAGATAACTGAAGGTCAAGTGGCCTGACCTCGAGGCCTCTTTCAGGCATTCTGCTGACCTTAAGCATAACTATCATCCATTTCCTTTACTGACCATGACCAAAGGCTGTAACAAAATCCTTCACAATTATAGACACTTTTACTGTTAGTAATCAGTATGATGTTTTTTGATGGGCTGGACTTAGCTGCAGGCAAATCAGTTCTCCATAGACATTAGCTAGTATGAGCTAGCAAGTTCTGTTGGTTTGTTTTAGACAATGGAGAAAGATGATGCGAGTGGTGCATTCAGAAATACTTCTCATACACATGGATTTAAAGAAAAACAAACACATCTGGTCCACGTTTTCTGTTTATGAAGTTTATTGTGCAGATAGTACAGAGAATAAAGTGATTTGGATCTGCATGTTTGAGTGAACTACAATGATGAGTGTAGCAACATCATGGTTAAGATAACGTCATTACAATTTGAAAAGAAAAAAAAAACAGTTGACATGATAAACTGACACAAAACAAAACTGATGTCAAACATCTGTCTCATTTAATACTGTTTTTTCTGTACTCATCAATCTCTGCTCAGATTTTACTTTTTAGAAGGAATAAGCGGAGCTAATAGATTGGCGAAGTAATCAATGATGTTCTGGACAACCGCAGGCACTGGCACTGGCACTGGTGCAGGCACTGGCACTGGCAGTGGAATTGGAATTGGCGCAGGCACTGGCACTGGTGCAGGCACTGGCAATGGCCTAGGCTGTGGTCTATAAACCTTGGAGAAAATCAGAAACATTCATTGTCAAACACACAAAAGAGGATGTTAAATGGTTTTTACAGTCACTGACATTCAGGTGTGTTGATTGTTGAGGGATAGTGAGAGCACTCACCTCATTGGACCTCGAGTCAGAGTCGGACTCAGACCGAGCAACTCGTTTGCGCTCCATCTGTGGAAATTCCACAAGTTTAATGTTACCAACATTATACTATCACAGTTAAAGTGGTGTCAGAACACTGGTATCGAGTATGACAGTGTTACACTTACAGGATGAGCCAGAGCGAGGCTCAGGAGGCATCCAAGCACAAGTGCTACCTTCAGTATGGTTACAGTGATCACACCTGTTGAAAAGGAAATAATAAAGACTTCATTAACAACAGCAAAATTGCCACCATCCTCACACAGAAAATACAGAAACCATATAATCACCTTTTAGTCTTGAGCAGAGTGTCTCGCAGATGGTCGAGGAGGTTGTTGTAGTGCTGCTCTGAATGTTGGGCTTTTCTTATATACACTTACAGGAGCACATGTCACCTCATTAGCATTCAGAATTCTTGGGAAATCCTCTTTCCCCACATTTCAAGGTGTGACTACTGATCAGAGATGGAAACCACTCCTGGATCAAATGATATGATTCATTTCAGAACTATTTTAACAATGGCTCATAACAGAAATCATATAGTCCACTGCATTGGATTGTTTACACCAATCTTATTATCAGTTTTAGTTTTGTCAGATAACATTTTATATCACTGCTGTTGTGTAGGTTTAGTCTCTATCTCCGCCCTTCAGTAACGGCAAATCAGAAAACAGATGGAACTAGAAAAGTGCACTCAGTAGAGCGCAGATCTCTGCCAGGTCGTTGCGGCCACTCAGGATAATTCCTGTAATTCCAGCGGATGTGCTGCAGCGTGTTTCAGAGGTGTCCCATAAGCTAAGAGAAACACATGCCTTGCCTAATTTTGATGGACGCTTGTTCATAACTGGACTTGTATGGTGTTAACTTTGTAGGCTACAGGAAAACAAAGTGGAAACTAACAACAAAATTGGGCAAGCAAGGTGCTCCTTTTTCTGAAACACTCCTGTCGTGGTTTGATGCTGTGCAGCAGACAGAACAAAACCTTGTCATAGTTGCACCCAGCAAAAATGTCCTTCCTGAAAACAAAAGGCTGCCAATGTGTATTTTCCTTCAGCTTTTCAAATTTAGGAAAATATAAAGTTGCGACAACATAAATTTATAATACGCAATGACCATCATTTGTCATTTGTAATGTAGCACCAATAATATTAACAACATAGTAAAAATGATCAGCTGATATCCAGCAACTAATTAAACACTTCCCATTACATTTAACTAATGTTATTATTTAAAACAAGCAGCAGTTAATAAATATATATTGATTCACAGACTAAGTGGCAACCTGAGATACAGTGTGTGCTGTACAAATACAATATGATGAAACAATGGTGGCTCATTCTGACCACAGTCCTCTCAAAGCTCAGACAGACACTCAGAGGTGTTTGGAAACACTGAAGGTGCTGAAACAATCCGTCTATCCAACTATCTATCTACCTACCTAAGAATACAGATACACACTTTTCTACACATCTCCATTAATGTTTCTTACATATGCATTTTAAGAAAACCCAAATCTTTGCTCTGTGTTTTCCAATTTTAAAGTTTATTCAGAATAAAGTGTCTTTGATCCACATGTTGGATTCAATTAGAATGAAACAAAAGAAACAATTGTTGGTTCTTCGTAATACATTGACACAAAACAAAAGCTGTGTCATGCAAAACTGGTTTTCAATCACTTATTAATTAATTACATTTAGATTGTATTGTGTAGCAGAAGCTGCACCAGTAGTTGTAGCAGGTCACTTTTCAGCATGGTAAGAAAGTCTGAGACATTGTAGGAAATCCACTGCAGCCGTGGTAGTAGTCACCGTGGTTGGCTTGGTTGTGGGACTCTTAAAGAAAAACAAAGGCATCCAATGTCAGCTGTACAGCAGAGGAGTCTCTAAGGAATTTAACAGTGACTGACTTTCAGGAGTGCTGAATGATGAATTGTAGAGGAGAGAGAAAGCACTCACCTCATTGGACTTTGAGTCAGATCTCTGATTACATTTCAGATTTTACTTTTTAGTAGTAGCAGGAGGTGGAGTTATTAGTTTACTGAGGATGCCAATAAGATCTTGCCAAAATTTTGGCACCGTCACCGTCTGTGGCCCAGCAGCCTTCAAGAAAATCAGAAACATTCAATGTCAAATACGCATAAGAGGATGTTAAATGATTTTTACAGTTATTAACATTCAGGTGTGCTGAATGCTGAATTGTAGAGGAGAGAGAAAGCACTCACCTCATTGGACTCCGAGTTAGAGTTGGAGTCAGACCGAGGAACTTGTGTGTGCTCCATCTGTGGAAAATCCACAAGTTTGATATTACCAACATTATACTATCACAGTTAAAGTGGTGTCAGAACACTGGTATCGAGTATGACAGTGTTACACTTACAGGATGAGCCAGAGCGATGCTCAGGAGGCATCCAAGCACAAGTGCTACCTTCAGCATGGTTACAGTGATCACACCTGTTGAAAAGGAAATAATAAAGACTTCATTAACAACAGCAAAATCACCACCATCCTAACACAGAAAATACAGAAACCATATATATATATAAATATCATCACCTTTGAGTCTTGAGCCGACTGTCTCACAGATGGTCGAGGAGATTGTTGTGCTCTGAATGTTGGGCCTTTCTTTTATATGCTTACAGGAGCGGCTGTCACCTCATTGACATACAGCATTGTTGGGAAACTGTAAATATTAGGAAATCTTCTACTTCCACATGTCAAGCTTTGATTAATGATCAGGGATTAAAAACCAAACCTGGATTATATGGTATGTGGCATTCAATTACAGTTTCAGTTTCAATTACGTTTAATTATCAAGATGGCCGCAGTGTGAGTGAGCCAGTCTGAGTCATGGTCTGCTTGCTATTTTTTTCATCTTAAACCTGTGGCCATGCATTGCTTGATATTAAATTACATTTAACAAATTAGTAGGACTAACCTAACAAGGCGCGTGACTGGCTTGACTAAGTGACAGATTTACTCCTCATATCTTTAAGGAAATCAAATCGCCAACAACTGATCAAACAATGGATCCAATCCAAATGAAGTCTCTGCACGATACCATCCATCAAGTTAAACAGGATTCAATGACTTAGTTTGACACTAAAGTTGATCCGATCTTTGGCACCTTGAGTGGTATGGAGAGATCCCTATCCACATTAGGGGATCATGTGTCGCTACTGGAACAACGTGTCGGAGTAAATGAAGACAACCTACCCGGGTCAAACAACTCGAAAATGATAATAAATACCTGGTTGATAAGGTCGAGGATCTTGACAATCGGAGCAGATCTGCAAATCTGCGCTTTCTCTGGATACCAGAGGCCGCAGAGGGCCTCTGGTACAACATTCTTGGATTTATGGCTGGTCTGATCCCTCAACTCCTGGGCAAAGACGACTTTCCCACACCGCCGGCTATCGAGAGGGCACACCGCACTCCTGTCCACAAAGTCCACTCAAACGAGAGACCCAGTCCTAGGCCTATCCTGATCAAGTTGCTCCACTTTCAAGATAAATTAAAGATCCTTCGCCTAGCTCGTGGAAAAATAGATCTGACTTTTATCGGCAGCCGCATCTTCATCTACCCGGACTATAGCACTAACTTGACGAGGAAACGATTAAACGGAGGCTCCGGGAAATGGGTCTCGAGTATTCCCTTTGTTATCCTTGCACTCTGAGTGTTGTAGTTGATGGAGAAAAACGATTTTTCAGCGACCACAAAGCTGCTGAAGCTGCCTTCATAACATCCATGAACTCCTCCATGAACTCTCCTGTATAGCCTACTGATTGGTAACCTTTTTTGTTGTTTGCCTTTCTTTTCCCTCTTTTCTTTTTCTGCCACGTCGCTTCCGCAGCCATTCTACTATGAACTAATTATGGTTACTGACTTCTTAATTAAAGCATATCTAAAACGTCTTCTCTGTTATTTTGGCTGCTAATCTAAGTTAATGTATGAAGTTGATGCTTACTGGTAGTGTTTGCCGTAAGCTGTCTAGCCACCGTAAAACGGAATTGTAGTGTCGTAAAAAGTCGTATTGACTGTACTAAGTCTCCCCTGTATTTGGGAGGCAGATCTTGTTTGCTCCTATTAAGGATTTTCTGTTTGTTTGTCTTATCTTGATTAAACTTAAAAGCATTACATAAAAATATGCATTTTCTATTTTGTATTTATTTTTCCTATATGTGGTCATAAGTAGTACCCTTAATAATTTCAAAATGACCTCCTAAAGGCACCTGACTTAATATATCAATGCAGGTTTTGTTTTGAGCCACTGTAATGTCTTTGCTCTGAAGCAGGCCAAGCTCGGAAGTGATCTCTTTCTTTTGAGTCCTACAACTTACTTCCCTTGACTTTTTCAGTTTTACCATGTCTGATCAGTGGTGTTACTCTCTTAAACTTTAAATATCAAATTGGACGGTGATAAAGGTCTGAAAATAATTCATCTAAACATCAGAAGTCTTCTACCTAAAATTGACATGCTTCGAGCATGGGTTGAACAGTATAAACCTGCTGTTGTTACTTTATCTGAAACTTGGCTCACTAACAAAATATCTAACAATGAAATTGGACTTGCTGATTATATCTTATATAGGGTTGATAGAGGTGCAAGAGGAAGTGGTGTATCCACATATGTGTCTTCTAATTTGGTCTCAGAGTTAATTATTCCAGATATTGAACCCCTGCATTTTAAGTGCATTTTTGTAAAAATAACTCTGCATGCGAATAAGTATATAACTAATGGAAATATACATCGACCTCCGTCTGCACCTGCTGAATCTATAAATAACATGATCTCTACCATTAATTCTATTAAATTCACAAACGAAATTATACTACTAGGTGATTTCAACAAAAATTCCCTCGATAAATCTGCTACTAAAGATAAAAATAGTTTTGGAAATCTAAATCTAACCCAGTTAATCAGTGAACCCACCCGTGTTACACCAACGTGTCAGTCCCTACTTGAGCGGATAATAGTCTTGCATCCAAACAGATTCCTAAAATCAGGAATTATGTCTGATTGTTTTAGTGACCATGCAACTGTGTACTGTATATGGAAAATCAAACTGCCTAAATTACCTCCCAAACTGATTACAATTAGACAATATAAAAAACTAAATGTAGATCAATTTATTAATGATATAATTGCAATTAACTGGGATAGGTATCAGTTAAAGGGAAATTTCGGTTTATTTCAACCTGTCTCCTATCGTCCTAAATTTGTTTCAAGTGACTAGTGACATAAAAATAATAGTTAACATGTTAGCCGTTAGCCTAGATACAGCCGGGGTGCATAGTAGTGTCAGACCTGTCAAAACGTAAGTGAACGGGCATCCTTTCAAGTGCAAAGTTGGTCCACTAAACAAGCTTTTTTCCACAAAGACCGCCTAATATCGTTAGGATAAATGTCAGAGAACATATAGAAAACGACACGTAAACGTGTTGTCTTACCTTACCAGTGTGGTGCCATGTTTGTTTACCATTTAGCTCTGCTTTCCAAAGTGCAGCTGAAATACAGTACAGGCCAAAAGTTTGGACACACCTTCTCATTCAATGCGTTTTCTTTATTTTCATGACTATTTACATTGTAGATTCTCACTGAAGGCATCAAAACTATGAATGAACACATGTGGAGTTATGTACTTAACAAAAAAAGGTGAAATAACTGAAAACATGTTTTATATTCTAGTTTCTTCAAAATAGCCACCCTTTGCTCTGATTACTGCTTTGCACACTCTTGGCATTCTCTCCATGAGCTTCAAGAGGTAGTCACCTGAAATGGTTTCCACTTCACAGGTGTGCCTTATCAGGGTTAATTAGTGGAATTTCTTGCTTTATCAATGGGGTTGGGACCATCAGTTGTGTTGTGCAGAAGTCAGGTTAATACACAGCCGACAGCCCTATTGGACAACTGTTAAAATTCATATTATGGCAAGAACCAATCAGCTAACTAAAGAAAAACGAGTGGCCATCATTACTTTAAGAAATGAAGGTCAGTCAGTCCGGAAAATTGCAAAAACTTTAAATGTGTCCCCAAGTGGAGTCGCAAAAACCATCAAGCGCTACAACGAAACTGGCACACATGAGGACCGACCCAGGAAAGGAAGACCAAGAGTCACCTCTGCTTCTGAGGATAAGTTCATCCGAGTCACCAGCCTCAGAAATCGCAAGTTAACAGCAGCTCAGATCAGAGACCAGATGAATGCCACACAGAGTTCTAGCAGCAGACCCATCTCTAGAACAACTGTTAAGAGGAGACTGCGCCAATCAGGCCTTCATGGTCAAATAGCTGCTAGGAAACCACTGCTAAGGAGAGGCAACAAGCAGAAGAGATTTGTTTGGGCCAAGAAACACAAGGAATGGACATTAGACCAGTGGAAATCTGTGCTTTGGTCTGATGAGTCCAAATTTGAGATCTTTGGTTCCAACCGCCGTGTCTTTGTGAGACGCAGAAAAGGTGAACGGATGGATTCCACATGCCTGGTTCCCACTGTGAAGCATGGAGGAGGAGGTGTGATGGTGTGGGGGTGTTTTGCTGGTGACACTGTTGGGGATTTATTCAAAATTGAAGGCACACTGAACCAGCATGGCTACCACAGCATCCTGCAGCGACATGCCATCCCATCCGGTTTGCGTTTAGTTGGACGATCATTTATTTTTCAACAGGACAATGACCCCAAACACACCTCCAGGCTGTGTAAGGGCTATTTGACCAAGAAGGAGAGTGATGGAGTGCTGCGGCAGATGACCTGGCCTCCACAGTCACCGGACCTGAACCCAATCGAGATGGTTTGGGGTGAGCTGGACCGCAGAGTGAAGGCAAAGGGGCCAACAAGTGCTAAACACCTCTGGGAACTCCTTCAAGACTGTTGGAAAACCATTTCAGGTGACTACCTCTTGAAGCTCATGGAGAGAATGCCAAGAGTGTGCAAAGCAGTAATCAGAGCAAAGGGTGGCTATTTTGAAGAAACTAGAATATAAAACATGTTTTCAGTTATTTCACCTTTTTTTGTTAAGTACATAACTCCACATGTGTTCATTCATAGTTTTGATGCCTTCAGTGAGAATCTACAATGTAAATAGTCATGAAAATAAAGAAAACGCATTGAATGAGAAGGTGTGTCCAAACTTTTGGCCTGTACTGTATATCTCACGAGCTCTAGATAAAGCCCAGCTGGATACTACTCCAGGGGGAGGTGTCTCGTCCTCGGTCACATCCAGACCTTGAAAATAAGGCTGCAACCGGTCCCATTCCTTGCAACAGAGGCATTCCTCTTCTGTGGGCACTGGGGCACAGCATTCACAGGTACACCACCAATCTCCAGAGCTACGCAGCCTTGCAGCAGCCATTCTTCCTCTCTCGTCCTCTACCTGTTGCGCCTCTCTCTCTCTCCTCCTCCTACGTTTTAACAGGTCTGACGCTACTATGCGCCCCGGCTGTATCTAGGCTAATGGCTAATGGCTAAACAAATTTAGGACGACAGGAGACAGGTTGAAATAAACCGAAATTTCCCTTTAATACCAGATGTCCAGGATGCGTGGGATTTTTTACATTCTGAACTGAATACAGTTATTGACAAACATGCTCCTCTGAAAACTACCACTAACCCACTATAAATGATCTCAAAATGAGTAGTGGTCCTGGGTTAGATGGCATCGAAGCCAGATTTCTAAAAGCATCAGCTCATGTACGTATGTATCCTCCATGTGATCTCTTCAATATGTCTCTCTCCACCTTTGAATTACCCAGTATCTGGAAATGTATGAAATGTGGCCCGTGCAGCATCTCTCTGCTTGAAAAGACTAATTAAGTCAGCACTTATCCATGGAAGGTGCCTGCCTTTTCCTTTGGTAGTTTTCAGAGGAGCGTGTTTGTCAATAACTGTATTCAGTTTAGAATGTAAAAAATCCCACGCATCTTGGACATCTGGTATTAACTGATACCTATCCTAGTTAATTGCAGTTATATCATTAATAAATTGATCTACATTTAGTTTTTTATATTGTCGAACTGTAATTACACTGAACAAAAATATAAATGCAACACTTTTGTTTTTGCTCCCATTTTTCATGAGCTGAACTCAAAGATCTAAAACATTTTCTAAATACACAAAAGACCATTTCCCTTAAATATTGTTCACAAATCTGTCTAAATCTGTGTTAGTGAGCACTTCTCCTTTGCCGAGATAATCCATCCCACCGGTGTGGTGTGGCATATCAAGATGCTGATTAGACAGCATGATTATTGCACAGGTGTGCCTTAGGCTGGCCACAATAAAAGGCCACTCTAAAATGTTCAGTTTTATCACACAGCACAATGCCACAGATGTCGCAAGTTTTGAGGGAGCGTGCAATTGGCATGCTGACTGCAGGAATGTCCACCAGAGCTGTTGCTCGTGAATTGAATGTTCATTTCTCTACCATAAGCCGTCTCCAAAGGCGTTTCAGACAATTTGGCAGTACATCCA